ATCGACTACCCTGAACCCTAGACCCTAAACTCTAAACCTGGACTTTGTACTTGATGACTCTATGCACTTCACTCTGTGACAATATGACTCTATGCACTAGATTCTCTGTACTCAAACTGTGCACTTGACTCTATGACTTTTTGTACTTCACTCTCTGACTTTACATAGCGCTAAACTCTTCGCAAATGATGCTTTCGGGCCACATGTCTTCTAGTTTTATGGTTTATATTTAGAATCCTTAAGAAGGCAATCCCAAAAGGAACTACTTAGGGGCCTATGGGTGCAGAAAGGGCTTTTGGGTGTTTGAGGGTTTAGGGTTTTAGGGCTTGTGGGTGATTGACAGGTTGTAGTTATATAAGGGTTGCATGTGGGTTTGAGGTCGAGATTTGAAGCTTAATTGCGGAGTGGAGAAAGCACATGGCTTGTGCCAAGAACCGACACGGGACCTCAGGCAAACTAAGTCAAGCGAGCAGCCTTAGTGTTAGCAGCTGGTAAACCAACGTCATGTTACACGCAAGCGATGTCCATCTGCTATTCACCCCTGAGATCAAATCTCGACCCAAAGAAAGCCGGAGACCCGAACAAACCCTGACCTGAACCGATGCATCACCCTGACCTGAAGAAGTGAAGAAGCTCAAACGACTTCACTTCAAGAATGAAAGAGATCTCTAAAACGAATCCTAGAAGGAACTCTGAAAGGAACCCTGAAAGGAGGCTGAAGTTATGATGATGACGACGATGTTGGTGGCAGTGGCCTTTTGGCAGCACATTCAAACAAAGTATATAGCCTCTGCTGCTCTATTAGAAAGGCCTGAACAACTTTAGAACGAAATCCCAGTATTTTGTAACGAAAGCTATTGCCGGCAGCCTAGGGAATACCACTTCTATTTGTTGGGACATGGGCTACACATCAAGAACCCACAGAAAAGCAAGAGACTCCAGACTGCAATCGGGCTGCTTAGAATGACCTCAAGAGCTACAAGCAGGCTGCAGCCTTAGTGGAGGCAGGTGCTGACTTAAGATTCAGGGTTTGCACTTAGGGTCGACAGTTTCAAGGGATCTTATAGGGTTTGGGTCTGTTTGTTTGTTGTTTGCGTTGGCTTAGGGTTGGTTGTTGTTTGCAGGAGGGAGGGGGAGGGGGGTGAAACAGCGGTGCAAGGGTTGGACCCGACAAGCCTTATTCCCGAACATCCTGTAGTTTGGGATGTGGGGGTTAACTTCATAGCTCCTAGAGAAAAAGGCCATGACCAACATCAATGACCAAGGAACCCAAATATGCGCCCTCTCCGAGGCTAGAAGCACTAAGCATCACAGCCGATAGAAGGGAGTGCCAGAAAAGAAGGGGACACCAGCGAGATCAGCAGAATTCTTACTGTAAGGACCCCTAAATCAGGCACCCCAAAGTATCTGACACCCCACATTGACTTTAAGTAAAGCTCAAACGGGACAATTCTTCTTCGGGACTGTAGTGATCTTTTCGACAACCGAATTCGACAACTTCGAAGTTAGGTTGAACAAGAGACCGTCAAGAACCAAAACCCTAGCCCTAAGGGTCCATGTACCCAAATAGTATATACTCTGGCCCCAAAGTACCTATATAGGGACTACTTTAAGGCCAAAGTATGTACTATTTGGGTACATGGACCCTTAGGGTAGCCTTTCAACCACGGAACCCATCGTCAAGTCTACCAGGGTGTCCCAGGACCTTTGCCTCCAGATGTAGCTCCTGCGCATGGGTCAGGGCTTGTGGAATACAGTCGCCCCAACCATGTGGGAGTTCTCCAAATTAGGGCTAGGGTCTAGGTGAGTGGGCATTCATCTGGGTGAAAGCATGCCTGCACTTGCTTTGGGTTTAGAGTTTAGGGTTTAGGGTACCCTAAACCCTAAACCCAAAACCCTAAAACCCAAAACCCTAAAACCCTAAAACTCTAACCCCTAGAACCCTAACCCCTAAAACCCTAAACCCTAAACCCTCAAACCTAAACCCTAAAACCTAAACCCTAGGCGCCTAGGCTTCCCTGGCCTGAAGTGCTCGGCCAAGCCAAAGTCCCGCAGCATTTCGACACCGCCGAAGCACGACCAAAAGAGCGCCTTAGGCTTTAGGGTTTAGAACCTCATCTGGGGTTTATAAGGGTTGTGTAAGGGTTCTACCCATGTACAGAAATTCCGTTTTGGATGTTGAGGTGTTCTTTCAGGGCTTTGCAGAAGTCGTTTACCAGTCTTCTCGGGCTCCAACTAGGACATGTTATAAAGGGCTCTTAAGAGCCTCAAAAGCATGCTTGAAAGTTTGTGTCAGGACCAGGCAGCTCTGTACGGCTTATTTAAGGCGTTATGTCTTAAAAACCATACTATGCGCAGAGAGCATGCGCATGTGATATGTGTGTATATATATATACATGTATATATATATATATATGTGTATGTATATGTATATGTAGGGGTCAGGATTTGGGTAGTTCTCTAAATTAGGGTTTTAGGCCCCCCAAACAGTACGGCACCCTTCTGAAAAGGAGCCCAAAACGAACCCTAATTTAGACTACTGCCCCATTTAGGCCTCAGGGTTTGGAGCTACTGGTTCCAACATTTATGGCAAAGGGTGTCGGATGTAGGGGCTTACAGTGCCTCAAACTTAACGGGTAGTCGGCAAGGAGGTTGTCACTTCAGTTGTCCAAGCAGCCTGAAACCTGATACTTAAACCCTAAACCCTAAACCGTCATGCGTGAATCTTCAGGCAAGGCGATCTTGTCTTGAGGCTCGCGGAGGGAACAGCAGAGCCTCCGGAAAACGCCAACCCCCCCCCCACCCCCCCCAAACCCCGAAATCGTAAACGAACCCGAAAGGAGGGTCGGGGGAAAATATAGTTACAAGTACCCTGCAAGCAGTCGTAACTGAGGTTGTGACACTTATAACTCTGTAAACTACCTACTTTCTGACCCTAAAGCCTAAACCGTTCATTAAACCCTAAAGCCTAGTTGCCGAGCAATCCCTCAACCCGCTGCTCGCTTAACCTGTCAACCCTGAACCCTATACCTAAGCACCCGAAGTAGGTAACACAAATGGCCCAACACCCGTAAAAGGCTATGATTCTGCATGCTTTTGGGTTCCAGGTAAGCCCTAATTCCCTAAAGCCCTACACCCCAAAACCCTGAACCCTAAAATCCCAAAACCCTAAACCCCAAAACCCTACACCCGAAAACCCCAAACCCCAAAATCCTAAACTCCTAAACCCTAAGACCCTAAACCCTCAAACCCTAAATCCTGAAACCCTCAACCCCCAAACCCTAAAACCCCAAGCCGTAAAAGCCTTGCACTCTTCCAGCAACTGAGAAGCTGCCACGCGCCACTGGAAAGCTTGCACTTGGGCGTAGTAGGTCGCCTGAAGGCCGGGTTTAGGGTTGATGTTTTGAGCAACTAGGGTTTAGAGGGTTTACGGTTTAGCGGGCTTAGGTTTTAGTGGGTTAGTAAGTGGGTTTAGGCTTTATTAGGGTTTTTAGAGGTAGTGGGTTTTAGGGTTGAGGGCTTCGGCGGGCCGAGGGGCTTGAGAGATAAGGTGTAGGGCAGTGTCGAGCTTTCGAAGGCTCCGCGGTTCGGTTGAAGGTTATGTAGGGGCCTTCATAAGTAGAATAGGGTTTCGGGGTATATGATACTATAATTATAAGAAGGAGCCCTCAAAAATAGTGTAGGTAACTATTTAGGCCCCTAAATATCTTAGATGGGATGATCCCTAATTGCGAGCCCTTACACAAGGGATCCTCCAGCCCTTTTGAGGCCTCTGAAGCACGAGGGAGTGTGCACTGGCGTTCGAACTTCTGTGTTTGTGAAGTGCTTGTGCCTGAAAGCGCAAGAACCACTATTTCAGCAACCTGCAAGATGCCACTTTGTCCTTGAACCGAACTTGTATGGAGTGCAGGATATCCGATCACACAGAAACGCCTGTCTGTGAATCGACAGGCAAAGCCGCAATTGCCGACACCACTGCCCGAACTACCGAAGATGCGAACACCTGTACAGCACTCGCTTAGTTCTGTTACCTTCTCTTGAAATAACCAAGCCCCCACAAGCGTTGTGTGCACATCATTAGACGGACTGAAACACCAAACAAGACAAGTTTCCCCATAGGTAGGTATGTTAAGGTCGAGTCGTATACTGCAGCAGGACTTCCACAGGCTGAAAACCGAGCCCAACCGGAACTGCTTCTAAGTGGCCACCACCCACAGAAGGTACATGATCGTGAAGCAGACGAACCTGATAGACAATGGCGGCTGCCGGGCTAACAGTTCAGAAAACTCCAGTCCATAGATTGCGGGGATTCGGGTTTGGGGATTCGCGTTTAGGGCTTTGGTTGGGGGTTTCGGGCGTTTTCGGGTCGGATTTTTCCCTGTACATTATGTCTACACCCGACATGAACTGATTAACAACTTTTGGAGGCAGTACAGGTCTTGCGCAGAAAAGACTCAAAACCGAACCCCTATAGCCTATAGGGTTTAGGGTTCAGAAGTTAGGAAGAACCAAGAGCTAGACATCTAGGTTTAGTGCAGTCGTAGTTGCAGAATGAACTATGTTATCAGGCATCTGGAAACCTCAGGGCGGAGTACCCTCGAGCACGGATTAGGGTTTAGGGAATTTAGCGTGTAGGGTTTAGGGGCCCCATAAGCCCTAATTCTGTGGTTTTTGAGTTTCCGAAGGCTTGCATTCAACGACACATAGGTGCCTAAACCGGGCATTGCTCTCGAGTTTGGGGTTTATGGAGGGAGTATTTGGGGTGCTTCTTACTGTTGAGGAACTTAATTTAAGTTACCATAACAGGGGTCTATATATAGCACGCATCTATGGCACAAACTAGGGTGTCCTTGTTGTGGTAACCAAATGTAATTTATCCTCAACAGGAACCCCACCTAAACCCTAAACCCTAAACCCAGAGCCCATTTTGAACCTTCTACTCCTCTGAAAGCCTCAAGTGGAAAACACTGATCCCTAGACTCCCTAGACATTAACCGCAATGTCTCCTAAAAACTTTGTTTATTGACGACTGTGGAACCGACGGAGAACCTCAAGATATGAACAACTTGCAGATCACTTCTACAAGACCCCTCAAACGATAAAGCGGCACGCTGAAACCCTCATACCCTTTTCGCTGCACCGTTCTCCCGCACGGACCCGATGTAACACCCTAAACCCGAAGCCCTGACCCCTAAGCCCCTAAACCCTAAGCCCTAACCCCTAAACCCCTAAACCCTAAACCCCTAAACCCCTCATCGAACGAAGGCAGTCCCCGTGGCAGCTCGTGAGGGCCAGGAGGTCCCGGGGCATGCCGAAATGTGGGGCTGAGCCTCAGGGATAGGAGGAACTCGGTTTTAAGTGGTATTGATCGCGGTTTCCATGAGGCTTTATGAGGGCGTTCTGAGGGTTTGTACAGGTTTCATAAGAGTTGACAAGGTTTTGTAAAGGATGATGCAAGGCGTAACCCTAAGGGTCCATGTACCCAAATAGTATATACTTTGGCCCCAAAGTACCTATATAGGGACTACTTTAAGGCCAAAGTACATACTATTTTGGTACATGGACCCTTAGGGTAAGTGTAGTTGGCTCGACAAGTAGACGTGGGTGCTCGGAAGTTTTATGCCGCCATCTTTCATTGAAAGGCCCACATCCGAAGACCACACCCTAAACTCAAGAACCTAACTGTACCCTTTGCAACTCCGTTCCTGGGACTCTACACTTTTAATTTTAATATCTAGACACCGGGGCCCAAGCCCCACAACCGATCCGAAAGAAAAGCCCCTGGAGCCCTGAAGCTTAACTCCAGCTGCCCATTGCCCAGCATTCCGCAACCGCCGGGGATGTTCGTACAGGGCTGTATTGGATTGCTTAAGGCTTAAAGCTGGAAAGTCTTTATTATGGGGCTTCAAAATCAGAAGGGGTCTACCAGAGCTTTATGCAGGGTTTAGGGGTTTGGATGCGCACCAGCAGCGGCCTCACGAAAAGGCTTGGCAGACTGCCGAGCAAGACGCCTGTGGCTTCGAGGGGACATAACGGCTTCGAGCTTTACGGCCGAGAACTGTACCTACATGTATATGTATGTATGTATATATATATATTTATATTTATATAGATATATAGATATTAATATATACTTGGGATTTAGGGCTAGGGCTTTAAGCTAAGGATTCGTGATTTGGTTTTGCTTTCTTTGCAGGCCATTGCGATGGAACGAGGGCCACAGTAAAGCTAAGTCTAGCGGTCTAGCACGAATCATCGGCAATCCATGCTCCAGGTTGGTAAGGCTCTCGTCGGAATTGATAAATTTGGCATTTAGGTAGCTCTCTAAATTAGGGCCCCTCTAAACAGGGAGCCTAGAAGGGACCCTAACTTAAATAAATATCTATTGGGAGTCCGGGCTTTCAGGCAGGGTTCAGGGGAAGTGGTACTCAAGGTTGTAAATCACCTAATGTAGCGGCCCTAAGAATTAAAAGTGGGCTTTTTGGGTATATTATACTATCATAATAATGAGGAGCCCCCCAAACTAGTATAGGTAATTAGTAAAGACCCTATACTATGCAGACGTTCCACTGAGCTTTGGGCTTGGAGGTATCTAATTTTGATGGGTGAGGCTTTAGGTGTGTGGGTCGTAGGGCTGTGGTGTTTTGGATGGAGTGCGACACACCATAAGATGCATGTAGGTGCTACGGTTGATGATACAAATCCTGAAATACCCATAATAAGGAATATACCATAATTCCCATCGTTTAGGGTCCTTAAGGTAATGCAGGTTTTCTATCATCAACACAGTATGGCTTCCTTTAGCAGAGTTTCGTCCGGGCCGGGCTTCGGGCTCCATGCTGTTTATCTATTATCGGGTGTTCTGCAGTATTTTCATTCTACCTGGTGTTCGTTCAGCTCTTAAGGACACACATCAAGGCGTTCAAGAACGGAACAGAGATAATCATAACTTTCCCAAATACTATGCCAGTGCTACCGGCCTGCATTGCTAGTATTCTGGTTATATACTGTTATAATGGTATATTACCCAATGCTGAGGTACGTTGGAATGCTATGGTAAAATTGGCGCCAACGAGCATAGTCTGACCCTAAGGGTCCATGTATTCACACAGTATATACCTCGGCCCTAAAGTAGTCCTTATATAAGGTGCATTAGGGTCAAAGTATAGTAGAAGCACAACAGTTGGAAACCCAATAGCTTCGATCCTACAGAGCAATGTATAGGCAATGCCAGCACTAACTGTCCCTAATCCGGTTTCCAAACTTTTGGGGTTTAGTATGCATTTAAATTTCTAAGCCCTAAACCCCCGAAACCACCCTCGTAGTACTATGCACCCGAAGGGCCTGAAGATAAAACAAAAAAAACTTAGGAATCCCGCCACTCATCTCTACCCGTTTAGGGTTTAAGGTTTAGGGTGTTAGGGTTTCGGGTTTAGGGGTCTAGGGGTTCAGGGTTTAGGGTTTAGGGTTCATTGATACAGGTGCCTAAGTTTGTTTTTTTATATAGGGGGTTCTGTCAAGGCTTCTTACCACAAGGGCTACTATGAGAATTCTACGACAAGGGGTTCTTTAAAGGCTTACCATCAGGGCTACTATGAGGAGTCTAGCATGAGGGCCGTTTCAAAAAAATACGAATAAAGGTTTGGGGGAAAAGTCTACGATGATGACAAGGCATCACAGCCTTACAGGTTCCGTGCCTCCGGTGACTCCCAGGAGCTCGTTCAACGTGCAGCCCAGCGTCACCTGGACACTGCGCTTGAGTGGGTGAGGGCTTGGGACAAGATCCAGTGCTGGGAGTTTAAACCCTAAACCCTAAACCCCTAAACCCTAAACCCCTAAACCCCTAAACCCTAAACCCCTAAACCCTAAACCCTAAACCCCAAAACCCAGCCCAAAGGCCGAACTACCAGAGTTTCAGCGTAACTTCAATGCTGCCCAACTCCAAGTCGTGACATTCACTGTCTTACTTGTCCAGTAACCCTAAACCCCAAACCCCTAGGCGAACGCAAGGTTGACCCTTTGGATGTATATGGGAGTATGGTACCTCGCAGCGGGTAAAGGCTACATACCCGACTGCTAAGCTTGTATAATGCAGCCCTAAAACCCTAAACCCTAAACCCTAAGCCCTAAACCCTACACGCTAAACCCTAAACCCCAAAACCCCTAAACCCTAAACCCTGATCCCTAAACGCTAAACCCTAAAACCCTAAACCCCAAACCCTGCCTTGAATTCCAAAACCCCCCTCCCCGACGCTGCAGACCGAGCGTCTGAATCTCAAGCCTTCAGCGCTACCCTAAATTCCTCAACCCTTACAGTCTAGCGTTTTAGGGCTATAGGGTTTTAGGGTTTAGGGGGTTAGGGCTTAGGTTTAGGGGTTTAGGGTTTAGGGTTTGGGGTTTGGGGTTTAGGGTTTTAGGATTTAGGCTTTAGGGTTTAGGGTTGAACAGCAAAACCCTGGAATCCGGAATGCTTCGCAGCGAGCACGGTTTAGGGTACCGGATTTGCCTTCAGGCATCTGATCCCGAAATAAGGCGCAAAAAAGGACATAGTTTAGAACTGCCCGGGGCCTCAGTTTTCAGGCCGCCATACTTAAGAAGTATAGTCAGCTGTAAACCCCTAAGCATATATAATACACGTATTACAGGTGCAACTTCAAAGAACTCTGATCCCACACAAGTGGCTGTTTTGGGTACTTGGCACCCTATGGGGTGAGGTAAGCCCGAAAGCCTGACGTCTCAAAGATTCACCATCTGCAACGAAAGCGCAAAAACCAAATCTCACCCAGTTTCGCAAGCCGGGCCAGATAAATGAAACATAAGACAATGGAACTGACAACCTCAAAGACACCCAACAAAACCTCAACCCCCTAGCCACAATATCGAACCTAAACCCTAAACCCTAAACCTTCAAATATCGAATTCCCTCAAGAAAGGGCCGCAGGACTGCTCGGAAGCGCCACAGCCAGGCGATGAGAACAGCCGCGGTTGCTGCATTACGATATCTGCCAAGGCCACTTTAGGGTTTAGGGCTCACGGGCTCATTTATGCTTTCGCTCTTCTGAGCTTTGAAGGTTGTTGTAAGTTCTTTAGTGTGGCTCTTGCAAGTGTTTTGGGAATTTCAAAACCGCTATAGGGTGGTCGATGGCTCTTTTCGGGTTCCTATAGGTTTCTCAAGAGTCTTTAGGCTCTCTCAAACTTTCAGGCCGTTGAGGATTCCTCCGTAGGATTGGCGGATCTTCTGCTGC